TGGTCATGTGACCAGGACATAAGTGTGTTAGGGGACTCCAGGGGATTAATTGTCAAATTAATCRTTATCGGCTAAATACCACAATTAATCGTGATTAATTTTTTTCCCAATATTGCCCAACCCTAATTTGAAGTTCATCAGTAGATCATATCTCTTACTGGCAGAGATCAGAACTGCAAGAAGCTCCAATAGAGTCTCAATGACCAGACATGACTATAAAGCAGGAATGGTGTAAAACAAAACCTGCTGTGTCCAATGAAAATTTTCTGTTTAAAAATCCATTTGCAACCACTTGGTTGGAGTTTTAAAGCAAAGACGTAAATATACTTGCATTCACCTATTATAGAACTATGAAGAACTATTATATACTGTAGTTCTTAGAATTAATTCACAGATATTTTTTAGATTCTATCTTTGTTAATTGACATTATTATTTTAGAGTTAGTACTACAAATCAAATTGGAAAACCCAATCCAGAAAGCTGACAAACAAATATATGTTTGTCTGTTTTATTTTAAACGTTTAAAATGAAAACTACTCCTGTTTTGGGTCGGGGTAAAACCAGAATGTTTTCATGAGACAACCTCAGCCTGCAGTAAGGAGGACAAATGCAACAACTTTGTGCACAAATAGCATCAATATAGATAGAAAATCGTATTTTTTACACAGAAAATAATTTGTGTGGTTAGCGATTCAAGAAACAAATGTCCGCTGCATTGAATATTAATGCTGAGTTGCTGCTACTGCAGATTATAAACATTTTTTTAGCCAAAGCCAGCTTAATGATGTTCATCTCTTCAAGTGCAGGTGTGTATTACATTGTACATAATTATGCTGCATTCAGGTAGTGCTCGAAACACCTGACAGTCCACTATACCCAGTATAGTCCATTTAGTGACCACAGGGTAGTGTGAGGGGACGAGTGAACATTTTGAACACAGCCAGAGTTCTAGATCTAGAACTTCAATGCTTAACTCATACAACAGAGTTCCACCTGCTGCATCTTGCTGTAGTTTGAAGGTAAATGCTTTGTGTTTGCTTGCTTCTCCACCTGTGTATTTGTTAGAAAAAAATGACACATAGTCAGGGTTTTTATCAGATTACAGCATGTGAAGAGAGCTTTTGGCTTCAACATTCAGTTGATTTGTATTAAAAGCTGTGCTTAACTTTTAACTTCTTTGCAGATATTTGCGTTCCTTTTCTTTATTTTGCTTTTCAAATTGATTTCCTAAGCGTGTTTTGATTTGCTTACCTCGAATTTGTTATGTTTTTGCTTTTTAATATCTTTGCAATAACTGACTCATTCCAGTTGAGAGCATCTTTTTTGATCAGGGGTTAAACTAAACTTAAACTACACATCCTACTTCATTATAGTCTTTATTTCCTGTCATTAAGGAACATCCCAAATATTTTTTTATCTCTGCAGCACAGCTTAGTGGTCAGCACTGTTGCCTGTCAACAAGAAGGTCTTGGGTTCAAGCCCCACTTGGGGTCTTTCTATGTGGAGTTTATGTGGGTTTTCTCCAGGACCTCTGGTTTCCTCCCACAGTCTGAGAACCGGCTGGTTTAGGCTGCCTTCAGGTCCAGCCCCCCTTTGAAAAAGAGAGCCAGCTAAAATAAGAAACCACAAAAGGAGCTATAACTCACTCCGTTTTACAGATATATAGAGCTACGTTTTAGTGTGGTAGCACAACTTATACTTCGAGTTCTCACAAATCTTGCGAGATCTCACAGTATTGCATGAACTCATGCAAAATAAAAATTGCAAGTTTTGTCCAAAATTAACTTTAATTCTGTCCCTTTTGATTACAAACAATTCTTAGTCTAAAGCTCTGGCATGAAAAACAAAAGGTGATTCCTTTAAGGACTGTTAATAATAATAATAATAATAATAATAATAATAATAATAATAATAATAATAATAATAATAATAATAATAATAATAATAATAATAATAATAATAATAATAATAATAATAATAATAACTTTATTTGTAAAGCGCTTTCAAACAAAGCACTGGACAAGAGATAAAATCACAGATGACAAAAGGCGAAGTCACAAAGTAAAAAATAAGATCTCAAAGAACAAGTAAAACCACAGAAAACGAGATAAAATCACAGGAGAGGGCAAGGCAGTGATTATAAAAACAAAGGATAAAATTAAGACAGTTAAAATAATTTAAACAGGTGCGTCTTTAGCTTAGCTTTAAAAACCTCAACAGAACAAGCCTGCCTGATGTTCTGAGGGAGATTGTTCCACAGAGAGGGGGCACGAAAAGAGAAGGCACGTTCACCAATGGTCTTTCTTCTGGCTTTTGGGATCATTAATAGGCCAGCACCTTCAGATCTGAGAGAGCGTGGTGGAACATAGTAGTGTAAAAGGCTGGTAAGATACGGAGGCGCCAGACCATTTAAAGCCTTATAGGTGAGCAATAACGCCTTAAAATCAGCCCGAATCTGACAGGGCAACCAGTGAAGGGATAACAGTACAGGATTGATGTGGTCAAATTTCTTGGAATAAGTTCAAATACGGGCAGCTGCATTCTGGACCATCTGCAGACATCTAAAACTTTTCTTGGGTAGTCCGGAAAGGAGGGAATTGCAATAATCGATGCGTGAGGTCACGAAAGCGTGAATAAGAACCTCAGCATCATCAAAAGAAAGGATGTGCCGGATTTTGGCAATGTTCCTGAGGTGGTAGAAGGCAATCCTAGTTACTTCCTTTAAGTGGAAGTCAAAACAAATCAAACCACACGTCTAGGTTTCTAACTTTTTCTTGACATCTAATGATCTGATTATCAGTTTGCAGAGTAAAAGCTTGAGACAAGCCTTAAAACTTAAAGGCACAGTGTGTAGGATTTTGTCAATTCTTTTAGCTGAAATTGAGATAATTACTAATGACAATAATAAAAAACATGTCTAATCATTGCAGACAAAGACCTTGTTTTATTATGTTTACCTTATAAAAAACTGTTTATATCTCCATGGTCGCCTGTCGCCACTACAGGCAGCCGCCATCTTGCACCGCCATCTTGTCTACGAAGGCTCATGAAGGACAAACTGCGGTGGCGGCGTCAAAAACGGTTTTAGTTGTAATACTATAAATGTAAGATTTGTTGGCTGTCATTGTAGCTGGGATAATTTTACTTATTAAAGCTCATAATCTTACCASTTGAAACATCACTAGCCCTGAAGCTGCTGGTAGACATCGCAGTTGGAATTATCAAAGGTTTTTGACACCTGAGAGACACCGTAGCAACTCCTTTGTGTTTGGAAGCGGGGGGTGGGGGTGGTGGGAGGGAGGATGATTCAACCACTCAACCACTAGATGTTGCTGAAAACAACAAATCCTACACACTGTGCCTTTAATTTCAGATCATTTTTGTCGAGTTAGCCTTTTGGAACTGCATGTCACGCTCCCCATCACAGTACCTCCACCACCATATTTGCACACCTTCACCAATCTCACAACTTCTCCACCCTCCACTTCTTTCCTACCCCTTTCTTTTAGTTTCCCACCTCTCCTCCATCCCTGCCCGAGGAGATTGTGGTCCGGACATCCAGCCCCATCCCTCTGCGCTCTCCCAGTCCTCACACCCTCCTGATCACCCTGTCGGACCCACTGCACCAGCGCCAGCCGGCAGGCATCAGGCGCAGCCAGTCGGCTGACCAGCCTCAGCAGCAGGAGCGCCCGTCCTCCTCCTCCTCTTGCCACGCCTCCCTCCCTCTGCCACCTAACCCCTCCCCAGGCACTCGCTCGCCCAGCCGCAGGAAACTGCCGGCCATCCCTGCTGGTGCTGCTAACACCAAGTTTCCCTCTGTCATTCGCATCACCCGTGCCCAGCTTCAGCAGGTGATGGAACCAGTCGCTGTCCCGTGAAGCAAACCTGCATTTATTGTGTCCTCCTCTGCATCTGTAGCCGCTTACTTCCAGTCAGATTTTGTTTTTCTTTACCTTTGTTGCTGGTTTTGCATTTTTGTTCATTTTGGCTTTCTGGTTGTGTTGCTGATGAGCTGCTCTCTCTCCTGAAACCATTGAGGGCTAGTTAAGTCATTTTTGAAGTGATGTTTTATCAAAAAGTTATGAATAGTTATTTCCTTATCAGCCGTAACGTCAGTCATGGAGACGAGAAAAAGGCAGAAGTTAGGATCTAAGCCAGGCTAATAACGAGCCAAATGAGGGCTCGCTGTTTGTCTTTCAAGCCTAAAAACAGTCTTTTTTCAAGGACAACATACTGGTGTCAAATAAAACCACATTTGCCAATAATAAACCTCTACTATACACTGTTAGCTAAGCTTATTGCTGTTTTCTCAACCGAACAAGTCCATACTATGAGAAGTACATGTGCTAAGCATAGAACATGTATATGCCAATGGTGCTAAGGCTGCTTAACATGTCAGTATACCAGGAGGAGAGTAAACCTTTGAAATGCTTAGATGTGCCGATCAGGCGGACTGATAAGTTTGGATAGTGACACAAACATTGTTCAATTGAGGAAAAAGCAAAAAAACTAAACAAATAGTCTTTTAAAAAACTGTAGAGGTTTAATATTGTCTAATGTAGCATTTTTATTCATACCAGGCCTTCGTTTAGCTAGCTATTAGTCTAGCCTGGATGAAGACTTCTTGCCCTTTTCTTCATACTCTGTGACTAAATATGACGGCTGATGGGGTGCTGACTTTGACAGAACATGGCTTCAGAGATGACCCGACTACCCTGTTGAAGGGCATTGTTGAGCATGGGGGTCAGACTTGTGTTTGTGTTGTGTTCTTGGGAGTGTGTCTTTTTGTCTGATTGTGGCATGTCTGTTTGGAATGTCGAGTCATGACTACAGGTCGCATGGTCTCTTTTGTTTCAGATCGTCTTTGTCCTCTCTATCTTTCTCTTCCTCTCGCTCTCCCTGTATTTGTTCCTCACCCTCTCTTCGCTGAAGCCCCCTGCGAAGTTGCGTGAACGTTTCCTGTCCTACTTGCCGGTTTAGTACTCACAGCTTGACTGACACTGCCATAGCACTTGTGTGTTTCGGTCTGATAATGGTAGCTATGGTACTGCATGCTGTAGCCAAACTAATCACCATTTATTACCACATAATATCAAATTCCTCTCACATCCTCATCTGGCTCTTGCTGCAGATCTACAGCACCAACTCCACATGTTGTAGTCTATCAGCAACAGACTTTGTAAATATATATATTTTTTCCCAGTTTTAAAGGGTTGTGTTTTTTATTGACGCTTCTTTGTCTTTTTTTTCTCATTTACATTCCCTGCCCCCACAGCTGACAGCCCAGCGTCCCTCTGGGCTTTCCTCTCAGTCAGGATCCGACAGCGCTCCGCAGTGCCTCGCGCTGGAGAGGCGTGGTGAAGTTGAGGCCAAGGCTCAGCAGATCAAAGAGCACACAGCAGACATCAGCTCCCCTCAGGACCACGTTCCCATCCACCCGGGACTGCCACCTGACCCCCCGGCTGAAACGCTGCTCAATGGAGACGGCCACACCAAAGCTCAAAGCCCCGCACTGAGCCGTGCGTCCTCACCACGCTCCCCCCGTTCGACACATTCGCCTCCTCCGTGCTCGCCGCCCTCCCCTCGCTGCTCTGCGCTCGCCAACGGTTGTCTCTGCTCTCCTGTCAACGACCAAACCACCGTAGTCCCCCCAAAGCCAAAAGACCCTAACAGTGATTCCCGCTCTACTCCATGTGCCACCGAGGTTCAGACAAAGGAGGAAAAGGGTGGGGATGTGCAAATGGCCCCACTGCAGACTGATGGTCCAGCATCCACCCCTGCTGCCCCCCGCAAGGACCCTAGCCGGAAGCAAAGCCGCATCCCTGTGCTGGAACCCTCCTGTCTGCTGGAGCTCGCTCCTCCAGGCTCTGCTAAGCAGAAGCTGTTGCAGAAGAAAGCAAGCCACCAGGGCTCTGTCCCCTCACCCACAGCCTCTCCCTCCTTATCTGATAGGCGTGGCCCCATCATGGCCTCCCTCGTTAGGGACCCGTTGTCCTCAAATTCAGACCGCTCACAGGATGAGGACTCCCTTATGGGCTCCCGATCGGACCGCCAGGGAGATGAGGCTCTGTCTCTCTCCTCCTCCTCCAGCCCTCTGTCTCGCAAAAGCAGGATACCTCGTCCCGTTCACCCTGCTTCGTCTGCAGAGCAGCTGAACGCCCAGTTCCTGCCACGCCCACCCCCTGGAAAGCCACCATGTCGTCCCACAGCAGAGGGCAGGTAACATAACTTACAAGAATCCAGGGTTCTTACAGATCCTTAAAAAGTCTTAAAAGGCATTGAATTCATCGATCCAAAAATAAGGCTTTAATTAGCTTCAAAATTTCTTAAATCAATCTGTCAGAAGTCTTAAAATGTTAACACATTGTAGATAGGATGATTGTAATTTGTCTCAAATATTAAAATA